AGGAGGTGGGGACTACAGACGCAGCTCAGTTGGTGTTATTTAGCGTGAAGCATTTGAGGAAGAGCCATTTACAAATTTCTTGAAATTAGTTCTGGAAAGGTGGTACAGTTTTGTTTTATTGCCATAAGTAAAACGGAGTAGTTTTATGAACTCCAGAACTTGGGTAAGAGTGAAATGGTGTGGAGTCTCACAAGCGAATTTAACAGACCCAGCAAAGTGCAATTTGTACAGTTCTGTGCAGGTCATGGTGTCCTCATTCGAAGTAGATGTATAGAAAGTCAGGTTGTCCCAAGTAGGTGAACTGGCGCAGAAGTCAACATCTTCCTCAGAAGAGGATACAGAGGGCGAGTCTTCGATGGTGCTGGCTGATTGGTCCATTGCAGTAGGTGGAAGAAGTCGATGGTGGCCTCTCATTGGTGGGATTAGGAATCTCGTCACATGAAAGCGGTGGTGGTAGTGAAGTTGTTTGAACGGAGGTTATTGGTATGGAAACATTGACATCATTTGAGGTGGTCTTGGGTATGGCTGAAGGTGGGGAAGCAGGGACAGTAAACTCAGGCATGGTCTACCAGAAGAGCTCATTAATGGTGTTGAAGGTTCTAGGGAGAGCCATATTCTGCATATGAGCCTACATCATACAGTAGTAAATTTTGGTTGGGTCAGTCAGGTATGAAGGTGGTGGTGGAGGGTTGAGTAGCCTGGAGAAGTTTAGTGGTATCAGCTTGTAATTTGGTGATAGCAGCGTGAGTGGGAGGTGTGGAAGCGGACTTCTGTGTTGCTTCTTGATTTTTTTTGTCAAGATTTCACTCCGTGTAGGACTTTTGCAGCAAGAGTGTGGTGGTTGCTTTTGCAATTCAGGCAAGTTGGTGTTGGTGGAGTGGTAGTGGAGCATGTCTTGAAATCGTGGCCCCCTCACAATCACAGGTCGTGCAGAACTTCCTGTCCTTAACGGGGCAGTCCTTAGTGCTGTGCATATAAGAACAGCAATTCCAGCAGTGTGGAATGTGGTGGTACCTTTCTGCTTCAATATAACTGGGGCGTATGAAGTAATAATAGCCAAACCCTCAGCCACAGCATGGGGAGTCGTTCACAGTTCCAGTGCAACGTTTAATCTTAACACGATTGGGGTAGCTCATCGTGAAAGATCAAAGACGATGACAATGAAGGTAAAGGTTCCCCTCCCCAACAAGGATCGTAGGGAGACTGTCAAGATGAGTCAGAGCTTCTGCGACTGAGGATGTGACCCCTGTGTATTTAGCACCTTTACAATTAACGCCGCCGCCGCCATCATAAAGCCGCCTAGTGTACTAGTCACCCTATGATGTTCAGCAGTGTGCGGCACGTGCTCCTGACGTGGTTGAAACAGAAAGTAAACTCACCTTTAAACTAAAGCTACGTTGCCTTCTCTTAATCTTTCACTGTGAGAGAGGCCTGCCCCTCCCCTCCATCCCTTACCAACGCTGAACGCTCTCCAGTACCCCTCCCTCTAACACCCAAAGCCCCCTTCCTCGGCAAGAACCTCGCTCTTCCCAGGGGGTGCTAGTACGATTCTAATTTAAGGGGGTTGTTGGGAGGCCAGAAGTGTGAATGTTAGGCATATAATGTAGTGTTAAAATATCGAGTTGCTGTGGATACTTGAATACTTTGGCTGGTTCTGGAATTTTCTTACACGGGACTTGGCCGTTTACTTCACATATGACATTCCAGAAGAACTGAAGTTTTAGAAAACTTCACCCCCCCCCCGGCTGCGACGCACAACAATTGGCTAACACACAGATACCTAGTTTCACTGCTAGATGGGCAGGGGTAGG